ACATGAAGACCTTGACTCAGTCATTGGCCAAGGCATCGGCTGTTATCGAGAAGACCGTGCAGAACACGGTGCAAGAAGTGACCGGTATACCTAAGCCGATGCAGGACTACGACCTCATCGATCAGATTGGCACCGCCGGCCCGGGCCTTGTCTGGAAATTGTACTCAGCCAAGTCCCGCGATGGCCATCTGCCGGCCGTCTATCCTACGGTTTGTGTTTGGGTATTGGATAAGAAAGCACTCTCAGAGGCTTGGCAGCGAGCTGGGCTGCCGAAAGCCGCTGAGGATGCTTTTCTAGATGTGATTGGAGCTGATGCAGCCCGGCTAGTGAGGCTGAGGCACCCTGGCGTGGTTCACGTCGTACAGGGGCTCGATGAAAGCAAGAATGCCTTGGCTATGGTCATGGAGCCGCTCTTTGCATCGGCGGCTAATGCGCTGGGGAATGTGGAGAACATTTCGAAGGTGCCTAAGGAGCTTAAGGGGATGGTATGTGCTTTCTTAAGTTTAATTAGGTTTTCATTCTGTTGTATTATTAATCAAGGGATGGTGGTTTGATCGGTTTTTCTTCAATTTGGACTAGCATCTGATGTTACCTAATGCATTTCTGACTTTTGTGAGTTTAACTTGAATTAACGATGCTAGTACCGACTGGGACATAGAGGAGCGGAAAAAAGTTCAAGTTTTTTCTTTGTTTCATCGGGAATGGAGCTGGTAGTTAGGAATCTTGATGTTCTAAGGACTATGGGGGTTGAAGCAAATTTTACAACCATCTACCAACATAGCTTGTTAAACTAGAAATATAATGCTTCTATAGCAGCCCATCTTGAGTTCACAAGCTGAATACGAGTCATGGATTATCTTTCAGTATTTCTGACACAAGCTGAATTCCTCAGTATGAGTCATGGATTCCTCAGTAATTCTGAGGAATTCCTCTGTATGAGTCTTGAATTATTTTTCAGTAATTCTAATATAAGCTGAACTGAATTCCTCAGTATGAGTCATGGATTATCTTTCAGTAATTCTGAGGAATTCCTCTGTATGAGTCTTGAATTATCTTTAAGTAATTCTAATACAAGCTGAACTGAATTCCTCAGTATGAGTCATGGATTATCTTTCAGTAATTCTGATTTATGTGTGTATATACTACATTGTGTCTGCTAAAATAGCTATCACAAAAGTTGTTTCTCCTTTGACAAATTTAAGCAGAGTAACATGAAGTTTGAAACTTTTCCCAGTTTTGATTGCTTATCCTGATTTGAGGTTAAAATTTCATTTTTCCAAGATGCTCAATATGGCAAATGTCCATTCTATATGAGTTGTGGAACTATGTTTTTCTATTATTTTTCCAGTTTTGTGAAGTGTGAATGAATACTTTGCTGCAGGAAATGGGATTGTTGGAGGTGAAGCATGGTCTGCTTCAGACTGCAGAGACATTGGACTTCCTTCATAATAATGCCCGGCTCATCCATAGAGCTTTATCGCCTGAGGTAATGATAATCCTTAATTTCTTTAAGAGTTTTGAGTTGAATAATCTTGATTCAGTTTTATCATCTTTCATTCTCTTACTTTTTGCCGTAGACTGGCTTTTCATTTATCTTTTGGGTAAGTTTGGGGAAGAAAAGGTAAAATGTGATGCTTTGTCAACAGACTCATATGTATGATTCAAAACCTTTTGTTTTGATTGGTTTGGTTTTTGGAAAAAACATTTGTTCAGTGAATCCTTCTTCTTGTTTTGATAAATTGACTGAT